GTTTATTTTCTCCACTCCTCTTTGCTCTAGATGGTGAGAAACCAACAGTTAGACCGTGGAGGGGCACTTTCAAGCTTTGAAATCATCAGTTACTACTCACCAAAGTAGGATGTAAAACACTGTCTTGATGTAATGTTGAACAGTTAAGTGCTGTAGAGTCAGTTCTAACTCATAACCGCTTCTATATAGCGTTGCTGAGAGTGGCTGGTGGGTTTGAACCACTGATGTTGTGGTTACCTGTCCAGCGATTATTTTACAGTACCACACAAAAACTCCCTTTATGGACTATGCTATGCACTTGTCCTAGACATCTCCAGAACCCTCAGCCTAGTACTTTAGTCCCAGGTGGTGTTTGGTGATGATTAAGAGGGTTTCATGACAACACTGCTTGTTTGCTCTATTATATGTATGGGTGTGTTTGCAGCATGTGCAAATATATGCATAGGAATATCTTGTGACAAGGCATATATTCATATGGCTATACACACTTAGGAGTCCTCATGTGGCACTGTGGGTTAATGAGCTGGACCGCAAAGTCTGTTTGATCCAAAAGGTTGGCAGTTCAAGCTCACCAGTCACTTCAGAAACCCTATTCAGGGTTGCTATGGGTCCGATCATACTAAGAGTTTTAGGTAAGGCAACTCATTTTACACAAATTTCTCAGTATATACACATTTCTGCATTGTTTTTATTTTGCCTGCATGTAATCATGGGCTTCCATTGGCACTGTAAGGGTGTTTTTGAAGTAGAGTTTTATCCAGGACAGTCTGGCTGTCTGACCTGCCTAGTGTTACAGATTGAATTATCTCCCTTTAAGAGTCCTGTTGACTCAAAGGTTAAATGTCTAGCTGCTAACAAAAGGGTCAGTGGTTCAAACCCACCAGCCACTCCAGGGGAGTAAGATGAGGCTGTTGGTTTAGGTAAATGTTGCAGCATTGAAACCCTATAGGCAGGTCTACTCTGTGAGAGGGTCACTGTGATTTAGAATTGACTCAATGGAAACTGGTTTGTTTGCTCTTGTGGTTTTTAAGGAGACATAGCGTAGTGGTTACGAATCGGGCTGCGAACCTTAAGGTCAGCGGTTCGAAACTACCAGCTGCTCCGCTGGAGAAAGATCAGGCTTTCTACTCCCGTAAAGATTTACACCCTCGGAAACCCTGTACAGGGTCGCTATGGGTCAGAACCGACTCGACGGCACTTA